AGAATCTGTGGAAAATAACAATAAAACACACACAGAGGTGTATGATAACCCTGCAATGAGTGCAGAGAAAGAGGTGGAAAATGAGATCAATTTAGATCTAAAGATTCTGAAAATTACCCAACTTTAAGATTTGATATATATATACATACAGTGGGGCAAAAAAGTATTTAGTAAGCCACCAATTGTGCAAGTTCTCCCACTTAAAAAGATGAGAGATGCCTGTAATTTTCATCATAGATACACTTTAACTATGAGAGACAGAACGGGGGGAAAGAATCCAGGAAATCACATTGTAGGATTTTTAATGAATTAATTGGTAAATTCCTCGGTAAAATAAGTATTTGGTCACCTACAAACAAGCAAGATTTCTGGCTCTCACAGACCTGTAACTTCTTCTTTAAGAGGCTCCTCTGTCCTCCACTCGTTACCTGTATTAATGGCGCCTGTTTGAACTCGTTATCAGTATAAAAGACACCTGTCCACAACCTCAAACAGTCACACTCCAAACTCCACTATGGCCAAGACCAAAGAGCTGTCAAAGGACACCAGAAACAAAATTGTAGACCTGCACCAGGCTGGGAAGACTGAATCTGCAATAGGTAAGCAGCTTGGTGTGAAGAAATCAACTGTGGGAGCAATTATTAGAAAATGGAAGACATACAAGACCACTGATAGTCTCCCTCCATCTGGTACTTCTGATACTTTCTGACTTTCCACACCTCAAGCATTAAGCCAGTTGACTCCGGCTGAAGACGTAAATGTTAAAAATGGCTCACAAATATATATATATATATATATATATATCTATATATATATATATATATATATATATATATATATTTATTTATTAAAGTCCTAATAATATATTTATAGCAAACATTACTCAAACAGAAGTAAATAGTGCATTGGGTGTTGAGTTTGATTATTACGTTGACCTGCAAAAGGCTCGCGACTTGGCTGCTTGTATCCAAAGTGCACCAACTTCGACACGTTCTTTTGCCCTCAGCCAATAATACACCAGCCAAGTGTGAACATTCCTCAAGATACACGAATAACACACAAAGATTCCTTGCTTTCTAGTTGGATATTGTTTATTTATTGTAATCGAGGTAAATGTTCAAATTAATCATGATATTGATTTGTCAGGGATATTGCCCAGACATTATTAATTAGCAGATGTGAGCATGTTGACTTTCAAAACTAAGAGAACATTAACATTATGCCCGTTAAACATCAGCATTGTGACATCGAGCATGTTAGCACGCTAATGCATTTATCTCAAAGCACCACTGTGCCTCACAAAGCTGCTAGCATGTAGACTCTTAGTTGTGTTGTCATGGAGGAATAATCAGGGGGTTTGTGGACAATATGAAAAATAAATAGAATATTACCAGACTTATCTATAGTATTTGACTTTCTAACTTCGCTGTAATAGGCTAAATAAAGTGCCACTTTGATAGCATAAATGAATAAATCACTAAAAGAAATCTCCTGCAACCCACCTGTGGATTGCGACCCAGTCTTTAGTAGAGACAGTCAGTCAGGATCACATCTGCACTAAACCGCAGGCTTGTTCAGAGACGAGGAAAATCTCGTTCTTACGGTGTGTGAAAGAAACATTGAGATCCTTATCACATCGTTTTAAGGTGTAAAATATAATTCGTAATTGAGACGGATAATTGTATTCAAGGAATATGTAGTTTGAAATTAGATGAAAGTGCATCTAAGGGAATGTTTTTAACTTTTAATGTTGAGTTGTATATTTTGTCTCCATAATGATGATTTAGAAATAAAATATGCAAAATGATACCTGACTGAAAGATTGACTATATCTTTTTTTCTCAGAAACCACTTGAGTCATCATTTAAATGTTCCCTCATTAGCCAACCTTATATTTAACCCTGTACCTTGGATATGATAAGAGACTATTTATTGCTCTCCTATCAGTATTATCTGAAGATTTACCTGAGTAGAGCATGTTGGGAATGAAGAATTTTGATAAAGAAAAGTTGAGAGTACAGTTCAGAGTGACAAACATGCTCCTTATCTCAAAGTATCATAAACATTATCAACAGTATGAACAGAGTTGTGAATTTTCGTATCTGGGTACGAAACCCAGCCAGTGTCCATGAAACTGTTGTGCTGACATATCAGTAAACCTTATGCAAACGACATGAGATGGATTATCAATATGTCAATATCGAGGGCGCACGACTGTGCCAAAGCGCACGAACAACCATGAGAAAACTTTCCACATGGTCGACTGACTGAGTGAATATGTACATTTACTCAAGTACTGTACATTTTGAGGTCACACCCAACAATATAAATTAAAATAGTGGTTCCCGGCCTCTTTAGTTTGAGACTAAAGAAAGCAGGATCTTGTTGGGGCACCTTGTTTCAGATGTCTTTAAGTTTTCAGTCCATCAAGATATTTCCTCTCTCAACTTCAACTGTTCATGGACCAAAGAGTTAAAAGTATACAATATTTAAAAAATGTGTTTGTGCGGCAGAACATTTTTTTTCATCTTCTCCCATTAATCATCTCTGGACCCTCAGATTTATCTTGTGACCCATTGAAGGGGGCCCGACCCTTATGTTGGGAACCACTGGACTAAACTATCTAACTGTCGTATATAAGGTAACCATCTCAACAGCTACAACAGTGAAATGTTCCTGGTAATACTTAATTACTTTCACTTAAGTAGGATAATGAATGTAGGATTTTTACTTATTGTTGAAAGATCGTAGAAAAGTATGAAAGCATAAAAGTATAGCTATTATAACCTGTAACCTTTTTGAGTTCTAAGTATAACCATCACAACCTATAGCTTGTTTACACTTTTTATAACCATCATAATATAACTTGTTTTATTTTATGATAGATGTGATTTAACATATAAACTGTTTCGAGTTAGACACTTTGTGTAACATAGTCACTTGAGCCTTATACAGTGCTTCTGGTTCTAACAGGATCAAACCAGTTACATTCCGTGTCAGCTCAAAAAGGAGGAGGACTCATGTGTGAGTGACACATGAAATAAGGGAGGTTACCAGCATCGGACCAGGATAAAAAGCAGCAGAAAAACTGAGAGATTTAGGGGTCTTACAGAGATAGCAAAAGAAGACCCTTTTTCTGTCTTACCCACTTACCCGTAACTGTCCATGCTGGATCTGTCCCTGTTGTTTTAAGGCATTAGCATGACTAGCCAAACCTGTCTGGTACAGCTAGTAGAGAAACTTCGCATGTACTGCTTCCCTTTCCCGCTAGTCTGCTGTCTGATTGTGAGGTCAGGCTGATCTGGGATCAGCTCTTTGGCCTGCAGAATCTCCGCCAAAGTTCTCCTCTCAAAAGAGACTTGGAGTAGTGCTCACGCCGGCGCGAGCACTACGCCGGATTCTGCAGGCCAAAGAGCTGATCTCAGATCAGCCTGACGCAGATATCATAATTTACAAATATTACTGGGTACATTCCAGATTTCAAAAACACAAATATTGACAATTTGTAAAATTTATTATTATTATGTTTTTTTCTTTTTGTGGCTCAACGAGGGGCGCTCAAGGTGAGGCCACGCCCCATGGCCCTCTATTGGCCAGCCGCCCCTGCTTGGCAGTGTTAGTCATAAAATGGTGAGAATGTTCACAGGCAATAGTAAAGTATAGACGATGTACATAACTATTACATACTGGGTGTTAGGGTTACATCCTATTGAGAACGCCTAGGGCATTAGCCGTAAAAGACTTTCAAAAAGACAATTAATTCCGAAATCCTAGCAATTTAGCTACATGAATACCCGCATGGCCGGATGCGGCGGCATTAACCAACAATGCATATAGTCAACGTCAATTCAGCTAAAACACGCATTCCGCCACACACTCAAGAGCACGGGCCATTCAAATATTATTCATATCAGAGGGAACAATATTACCCATATCATGAAAACGACATGAATGGCCAAATCCCAATGTCCCCCCTAAACCCTCAAACCCTGAACCCTCAAGGACTTAATTGACATCACCTGGTAAGTGGTTGAGTGTGAGAGACTGTGAGGGCTTGAGATGGTGTAAATAGGAACGGGACAGCACTTTGCTGCAACATATCACGTTACCATGAAAACGACAAAAAATATGATGTATAATTGTGGGTATTTATTTTATACTTTGTACTGATTTGAAAGTCTTCCAGGCCCTTTCCTCACAAGATGAGAGGTAACTTCATATAATCTATTTACTCGTTTTTGTCAAAACAGCTTCAATGACAAAATCAAATATTTGATGAATAAATAAATAAATATCTTCTGATTTCATGTTTATTTTTTGTTCCATGTTCCATCTTTAACCCTTAATGTTTCTGAGTAAATTTAATATGACAGGCTGAACACACGTGAGCCGTCCTCTTTGTTTACGTCTCCATGAGTCCACTGGTTACCCCGTGTTTAACGTCACATTGCAATGATTTGTGGGTAATTCCCTTAGGCTAAGTCAGCATACTATGCTGACTTACGGAAAGGGTTCATAAAGGGCTCAAAATGTCTGCGAGAGAGCCATCAAACACTTGACGATTTGACAGTGGGACATCCCTAAACCCTCACGGCCTCAAAGTCCGTGAGTCCGTAAGGGGGGACATTGGGATTTGGCTAAAGACAAATTAGCACATAACGCTCTTATCACTCCCTCCAGGAAATACATGACTCCATAGTTCTTGTTACTGACGGATTAATTCATCTGTCAACACCGAGAGGGAAAATGGGTCCACTTGAAAACACACGAATCTTCAAAGTAGATCACTTACAAACTTAAACTTAACTTTAACACTGCGGAGTATATAGACCGCTGCCGCTTTGCGCGTCTTCTTGTTGCTGTGCACCGGCTAAATTTGTCCCCAGCGCAACATAGGACGTAACAATAGTTCCTATCACATATAAAACCAAACGAAAATCCATATTCATAAAAACAAGTTGTACAAATAATAATATAGAATATAAACAAGCATATTAAATAATGACAAATAATATTTATGGCAGTTAAGGTACTGCAGTTAACTTACCAAAGCTGCTGTTCACCATTTAACCTCCTGGTCCATATATGGTCCAAAACTAAACATTAGTACATCATTGGATGAAGCTGTTTACGTAGTCTTACAGTTCATGACAGACTTCTTTAAGTTAACACTTATTTCTAAGGTTCCTGTCTGGTCTTCCTGGTGGAACATCAGTCAGGATGTCTCCTAAACAGTTAGCATGGTTACAGCATCTGACCTTACAGCCTGTTTCCTAAGCTGACTCTGACAAAGATCAGAGCAAAGTATGTTAAACCAAGACTATCTCATTTTCTCATTTTAACCATTCGTGATTATAAAAGCATATATGATAATTTTTGCTTTGACATGTTTATGTGCTTTATTATCTAGAATCATCCAAAACTTTGATTTCTTATTTCAACGTCACTTATCAAAGTTTGTTCATTTGTTACACGATGATCAAAGATGATGAATTTAGAATCACAACTCTTGTGATTCTTTTTCCACAGATGCTGAATTTGATCCAGAAAGACTCTTGTTTGACATTCAGAGGTTTTTCACTGAGAGATCAGGGTGGTACTAACTAACATCAGCTGTGTGTGATCCTGTACAGACTGAACTATCTGGTCAGCAGAGAGAAGGTTTCTCTAGCAGGAGGAGACTCTCCCTCCTCCAGAGAACACAGAGACACTGAGGAAACACACCAGGTCCAGAACCTGAACCCAGGATACAGAGGTTCAGTGAATGTGGTGTTGAAGGTGTGGAGGTGGATCAGTGTGTCAGAGGAGACTCTGTAGAAGGACAGAGAGCCAGCAGGACAGTCCACATACACTGCTACTCTACCAGAGGGGGAGGAGGAGGAGGAGGAGGAGGAGGTGGTGGAGGTGGAGGAGGTGAAGTGTGTTCCTTTCTTGTTGTGAGTGACAGAGTAACCACCATCAGAGCACTCCAGACTCCAGGACTGATCATTCCATCCAAACATACAGTCTCTACTGCTTCCTCTCCTTCTGATTCCTTTGTAACTCACTGATATATTAACTCCTCCTCTCCACTCGACCTCCCAGTAACAGCGACCAGTCAGACCAGTTCTACACAGCAGCTGCTTCCAGTAGACAAACCTGTCTGGATGATCAGGATATGACTGATCCTCCTTCACAAGTGTCACCTTCCTGTTGTTTTCAGACAGTTTGAGTTCTCTGTGAACTGTGTTTGTGTCGAGTGTGAGTTCACAGGAATCTGATGGAGAGAACAAGACACAATACAGCTGCAGTTATTAATCTATCATCTGTTTGATGATGACATCAGAGATGTGAATGAGTGATGTCACAGTTTGAAGATGCTTTGTTTTCATGAATCAAATTCAAAGCACACTTACACTTCCTCAGACCTGGTCTGAACCATCGGACTCCAGCAGGCTCCACCCTGAAAGGAGGAGGGGGGTCAGAGCAGCATGGAAACATGGACATTACATCGCTCTCATACACAGAGCTTTGTTATTCATGTTCACATGGAGAACTTATTATTAATCGGCTCATATTCTTTTACTTCACTGGAGCTTCTTCTGATTGGCCCATGACGACAGCTCATTATGTTATTTATTTATTTGTTTATTTTGCAGGGACAATGCACACCAATCAACAGTCAAACTGTAAGTGAGCCAGAGTTAGCCAGAGAGGCTAGTTTTCATCTGCTGTCCCCGACCAGATGTTTGAAGGCAGCCTAAAATTACAAAATTTCAAATTAAAATGGAATTAAAATTCATAGATAAACAGACTAACGTACAGACAAAAAAGTGTTCTGGGTCTTCCCCGGGGTCTCTTCCCAGTTGGACGTGCCTGGAAAACCTCCAGTGGGAGGCGTCCAGGAGGCATCCTAATTAGATGCCCGAACCGCCTCAGCTGACTCCTTTCGACGCGAAGGAGTCCAGGGCTCGACTCCAAGCTCCCTCCTGATGACCGAGCTCCTTACCCTATCTCTAAGGCTGAGCCCGGCCACCCTACGGAGGAAGCTCATTTCGGCCGCTTGTAGCCGCGACCTTGTCCTTTCGGTCACGACCCAGAGTTCGTGACCATAGGTGAGGGTAGGAACGTAGACCGAGTGGTAAATTGAGAGCTTTGCCTTCCGGCTCAGCTCCCTCTTCACCAAGACGGTCGGGTGCAGCGCCTGCTTTACTGCTGCAGCCGCACCGATCCGTCTGTCGATCTCCCGCTCCATCTTACCCTCACTCGTGAACAAGACCCCGAGATACTTGAACTCCTTCGCTTGAGGTAGGCACTCCGTTCGTATCAAGTGTTTTTAGAGCTTGTTTATGGAGAATATGAATAGATTTTAATGTTGTGCTGCTGGCTTGTGCCCAGCTGGTTAAGCAGTAGGTCAGATGGGGGACAATCATTGTATTAACATACAATTTTGCAGCCTGCATGGTTAGACTGTTTCTTATATATCTAAAATTCGTGAGATTCAATATTAAGACCCTTGTCAGATGTTTTACCTGCTTTTTAAAAGAGAGATTAGAATCAATAAAAATTCCTAAATATTTAAAATCTGACACTACCTGTAGCCTCTAACCAGCAACATAAACATCTGGCTCCGGTCACACTTTGCAAGCCCTCTTTGTGAAGAACATACAAACAGTCTTTTTAACATTCAGGTGAAGGCAGGAATCTGCAAGCCATTTAGTTACATTTGTCATTGTGGACATAAGTTTAAGTCCAGCTTGTTCTTTGTTTTTTGCGTGCACATAAATCACTGTATCATCGGCGTACATTTGAATATCACACCCATAGCAGACACCCAGCAAATTGTTAATGTATAAACTGAATAATAAAGGTCCTAAAATAGAACCCTGGGGTGCTCCCACGTTAGATCTCAGAGTAGATGATGAAACATCACCCACTCTGACACACTGGGTTCTTCCTTCAAGGTAGGATTTCAGCAAGGCAAGAGACTCTCGGGAAAAGTTAAAATTTGACAGTTTATTAATCAGGACATTGTGATTAACCGCATCAAAAGCCTTGTTGAGGTCAAGAAAAAACGCTCTTTATCCAAGAAAAAACACCCTTTATCCATTTTAAGCTTCACATTCTCTAAGAGGAAGCAGTTGGCTGTTTCAGTCGAATGATTAGCCCTGTAACCAAACTGCATGTTCACTTATTGATATATTATTATCAGTATTATATTGACAATCATCATCCATTTCAGACTCAGTTTCCTCTACCAGTCAGTCAGTAAATCAAATGTTTAAACCTGCATCAATTGATTTCTTTGTCCACTTGTGGTTCAGTGAAAACAAGCTGTAAACACAACATCTGACATATTATCAGCTTATAAAGTAGTTGTGTTTAACATGATATCAACCAGCTGCTTCCACATCCAGCAGTTACACATCAACATGATGATTCATCAGCTAGTCTTTGTGTTTGTGTCACCTGATGAATGGAAGTCCAATATTCTGTCTTTTAGCTCTGTTTTTGGTCTCCACCACCTCCTGAGGGAAATATCTGTCTCTTTAGCTGCTAAATGCTCCACTATGTTCACCAGCTAGTCTCTAACTGAGTCTGTCTGCTGTTTGCTGCTGAGCAGGTAGTAAACAGTGGCTTCATCACAGCTTGTTGGATGAAAACAGCGGCTGCTGGAAACACAGAGACTGAACCAAACAGGAAATGTGCTGCAGAACCAAAACTAGGAGCTAAAAGAGGCTAAAAAGCCCTGTAGAGCTGCAGAGATGGAGACAATTTCTCTGTGGGTTCATCACCACCACACGACTCTTCACCATTACACAGAGTCAGCTGATCCGTTGTCAATATAGAAGTATTGATTGTTGGATGTTTTGGTACTGACAAGCGACCTCTTCTGTTTGTGTAATAATGACTGTTGTCTCTCAGAAGTAAAGGAGAAAGTAGCCTGAAATCACTACAGCGCCACAAACCCTCTGATGGAGGAGGTCGGGGGGGATGGTTGGATGTACAAAGCTGTTCACATCCCGTCTCCTAGCAACAGTCAACACTGATTTCTATTATGTGTAATCTGGGGGTGAAAATATTACAGTTCAAGTCCGTCTGCAGCCACAGAGCACTGCCTGTGTCCCCCTAGAACTTTGGTCCAGTCCTACGTAAATAAACCTCTTTGGGCTCTGACACACCATGTCCACAATCAGCTGTTGGTTCTTCACTGAGCGTCTGTGGCCGACTGTCACCTGTAGTTTCAACAAGTCGACTCTTATCAGCCAGGGAACTGGCTCTCAGTGCAAAACAAACCAAAACCAGGTAAAGCTAAACTCCTTTAAAACACATCTATTGTGATGATCAAGACGGTTTAACAGATTGTTTCTTAGTCTGTTTGTCATTTCACAATAATGTCTGGACTAAAGGGCAACACACACGAGCATCAAAACATCCAACGCTGCAGGTTTGATATGAGCCCACAAACCTGCAGCGTGACGACGTTGACTCATGTCAACTCACCATGATGCCCGTCAACGTGTCAGGATACACCACTGTCCTATTTTCTAATGTTGAAACAAGACAACACTCCAGAAAAACAACAGTTTCATCACCTTCCCTCCCTGTTGTGGCTCATCCTGGCTACTGTTCCCTGACTACTGCTGTCTGTATTGATAGTCTGATGTGGGATACAAACAGTTTGATGAGTCTCTGGTAGTTTGAGGTCAGCTTGGTGTGTCAGGGTCATATTAACCAGGCTGACAGTGTGACAGAGAAAAAGTCTCCAGCTCTACCTCCTCTATCAGACTGATTGTCTGTGGCTGCAGCAGGCCTCTTCATACCTGAGAGTTTCCAGTCTCCAGTGTGGATCATCCAGTCCAGCAGACAGCAGCTTCACTCCTGAGTCTCCTGGATGATTGTAGCTCAAGTCCAGCTCTCTGAGATGGGAGGGGTTGGCGCTCAGAGCAGAGACCAGAGAAGCACAGCCTTCCTCTGTGATCAGACAGCCTGACAGGCTGCAAACACACAAAACAACACACATGTCACATAATCTGAGGGAACTGTGAGGGCTGGAAGGTTTATGTTTATTACTGTCATCACCAATCTGTTTGTGTGTAAACATTAAACTTAGTACTTAGTCCAAGAAAAGTAATTCACAGGGTCACCTGAGAGTTTCCAGTGTACAATGTGGACTCTCCAGTCCAGCAGACAGTAGCGTCACTCCTGAATCCTGCAGGTGGTTGTTACTCAGGTCCAGCTCTCTCAGACTAGAGGACTGGGAGCTGAGAACTGAGGACAGAGCTTCGCAGCTTCTCTCTGAGAGGTTACAGTCACTCAGTCTGAAGAGACAATGATGAAGAAAAAATAAACAATAAGTAGAAAAGATAGCAGCATATTTAAGTTATGACATATGAATCTAACTCTCTCTGTACTTACAGAGCTTTGTTGGAGGCTTTGACCACTGGCAGCAGCCTCAGAAGAGCCTCCTCTGAAGCAGAGTATTTCTTCAGGTCAAACACGTCCAGATCTTTTTCTGATGACAGTAAGATGAAGACCAGAGCTGACCACTGAGCAGGAAACAGTTCATCTGTGGAGAGACGTCCTGAACTCAGGGACTGTTGGATCTCCTCCACTAGAGAACCATCATTCAGTTCATTCAGACAGTGGAACAGATTGATGCTTTTCTCTGGAGACACATTCTCACTGATCTTCTCCTTGATGTACTGGACTGTTTCCTGATTGGTCTGTGAGCTACTTTCTGTCTGTGTCAGCAGACCTCGTAGGAGTTTCTGATTGGTCTCCAGAGAAAGACCCAGGAGGAAGCGGAGGAACAAGTCCAGGTGTCCATTTGGACTCTGTAAGGCCTTGTCCACAGCACTCTGGTAGAGATGTGCTAGTTCAGGTTTGTCGCTAAAGACCTTAGACAACCGGGAGGTTGTTTGTTCTTCTGACAGCATATTGACACCAGAGTTGATGAAGGTCAGATGGACATGAAGAGCAGCCAGAAACTCCTGAACACTCAGATGGACGAAGCAGAACACCTTATCCTGGTACAGTCCTCTCTCCTCTCTAAAGATCTGAGTGAACACTCCTGAGTACACTGAGGCTGCTCTGATATCGATGCCACACTCTGTTAGGTCGGATTCATAGAAGATCAGGTTGCCTTTCTGTAGCTGATCAAAAGCCAGTTTTCCCAGAGACTCAGTCAGCTCCCTGCTCTCTGGACTCCAGTGTGGATCTGTCTCAGCTCCTCCATCATACTTGACCTTCTTCAGTTTGGACTGAACCACCAGGAAGTGGATGTACATCTCAGTCAGGGTCTTGGGCAGCTCTCCTCCCTCTCTGGTCTTCAACACATCCTCCAGAACTGTAGCAGTGATCCAGCAGAAGACTGGGATGTGGCACATGATGTGGAGGCTTCGTGAGGTCTTGTTGGTCATGTGGGAAATGATCCTGCTGGCCTGCCTCTTATCTCTGAATATCTTCCTGAAATACTCCTCCTTCTGTGGGTCAGTGAACCCTCTGACCTCTGTCACCATGCCAACACACTCAGGAGGTATCTGATTGGCTGCTGCAGGTCATGTGGTTATCCAGAGGCGAGCAGAGGGAAGCAGTTTCCCCCTGATGAGGTTTGTCAGCAGCACATCCACTGAGGTGGACTCTGTAACATCAGTCAGGACCTCATTGTTGTGGAAGTCCAGAGGAAGTCGACACTCATCCAGACCGTCAAAGATGAACAGAACCAGGAACTCTTCAAACCTGCAGATTCCTGCTTCTTTGGTTTCACTGAAGAAGTGATGAACAAGTTCCACCAAGCTGTACTTTTTCTCTTTCAGCACATTCAGCTCTCTGAAAGTGAATGGAAATGTGAACTGTATGTCCTGGTGGTCTTTGTCTTCAGCCCAGTCCAGAGTGAACTTCTGTGTTAAGACTGTTTTCCCAATGCCAGCCACTCCCTTTGTCATCACTGTTCTGATTGGTTCCTCTCTTCCAGGTGAGGCTTTAAAGAGGTCTTCTTGTCTGATGGCTGTTTCTGGTCTGTGTGGTTTCCTGGATGCTGTTTCAATGTGTCTCACCTCATGTTCATCATTGACCTCTGCAGTCCCTCCCTCTGTGATGTAGAGCTCTGTGTAGATCTGATTCAGAAGGGTTGGGTTTCCTGCTTTAGCGATCCCCTCAAACACACACTGGAACTTCTTCTTCAGGTTAGATTTGAGTTCACACTGGCAAACTGCAGCAGGAAGTCCTGAATGACTTCCTGAATAAAAACAAAGAACATCAATGAATAAATTATTAGAAAAATGTGTCAACATATCTGAATATAGTTTGGTCCATCTCTTGAGACATTAGTAAACGTCCCATTTATCCAGCATGTTAAATCTTTAGAGAAATCCTCTTACTGCTCTGCAGACAGTCAGCCAGCTCCTCCTGCTTCATTCTCCTCAGGAAGTGCAGTGTGATCTTCACAAACGCCTCTCTGCTGCTCCTCCTCTGCTCTTCATCCTCACCGTTCAGCACCTCCTCATCCTCCGTCTGACTCTCTAAGCATTCTGGGTAATCTGAACTCACAACCTTCTGGATCTTCTTCAGCTCCTTTTTCACAAAAGTGACGATGTTCTCCTCCAGCAGCTGGAACAGAATATTCTATGAATGATGCAAACTAAAACCATGGAACCAAACATCAGATCCATGTTGGACAGACTGACAATCCACTGATCTACAAAGTGCAGCACGGAGATGATTGTGAACAGAATAGACGTAAAAGTAGTTGTACATGTACAGACCATAAATATGGAGTCCAGGTGTGTTTGATGCTGCTGGGCAGACTGACCTCTGGGAACCTCTGAGCTCTCCTGGTCCTCTCTGTGGAGAAATCATGAAGAATGAGCTCACATTGTGTCTGTCCACGCAGAGACAAACACAAGATAAAGGTCCATGAAGTGATATCTGGATGTGGATCAGATGAGTCCCTGTAGTGGTAAAGGTTTACTAGTCCTGCTGATCCCACTGAGAATCAACAGCTCAGTCTTTCAGCTCACTGTTTTCTTCACCACTCAGTTTGGTTTAGTCCCAACAGCTCTCACCAAGCCCTTCATGTAGCTCTCCCTCCCTCACTGTACACTGCTGAAGTGCCCTGGAGCAAGGCACCCAGAATCTCCAGCTGCTCCAGTGGAGCGTCTCAGTGTCAGACTGGTTGTACTGGGCAGCTCCCAGTGTGAATGAACACCTTCAAAGCCAATTGACACATTGTTTTTATCTTGTTGAAAGCATAATAAAAGTTACGTGTTGGAGATATTACTTGTTGAACACCAGTTTATCCGTTGGTACTTGGTACACTGTTATACCTGTACTGCAACACTAGCTTACCTTCAAGTCAAGGAGTAGTGCCAGTGAAATGTTTGTGGCTGCACGAGTCAATACTTTCCAAACTGTGTTAAGAAATCTTATGTATAAATTCATTTGTCGACTTAATGACTCTGAAAATTAGATCATAGTTGTTTTAACCAACATAAGGTTTAGTAGCACACGCTACCAGTCCCAGCTGTGGCGTCATTGGTACAGCTGTCTCTTTGTAAGGCATTGCTAGGCCTATGTACTTTTATTGTTTGTGTATGTCATTTTATGTATTTGTCTCTCTGGACCCTGAGTCTGAAATAAAGTCTATCTATCTATCTATCTATCTACTCAATTGAGACAGTGAAGCAGAATCAGGTCATTCCTTTGACCTGCAGACCTGGAGAGAGTCACTTTAATCTGGTATGAGCAGGAGAAACATTCCATAAGAGGAAGTAACTGAATGGGGGTGCAGACAGTTAACCACAGAATGTTTAGGTTAGGAACAGAAACAGATGTCTTCGTGAGGACTCATCCTACCCCCCCACCCTTGTGCACTGGTCCTTTATAAGATGTACAAACCCTGCGCACATGGCTCTTCATCCCTCAGACTGCACACAGGCGCTCAATTGAACCTTCTCGGCACAGAGAATAAATACTCCAAAGACAAACTTTCTTTTCTCACATTTCCTTATTTCAGTATTATAGCACTCACTCTGTACTATTATATAGTTTTTACACCACACCTTACTAACGGGCCTTTGCTGTCCAGGCCCTTCAGCTGTGGAAATCTCTTCCTGGTAATCTAAGGCCGCAAAATTCAGTATCCTCTTTAAATCTCTTCTGAAGACTCACTTTTACCGCTTGGCTTATTTTTACATCTGACGCTTTTTATTTTGTTTATTTATTTAAAATCTTATTTTACCGGTTTGATTGTGTTTCTTATTTGCTTTCATGTTTTATTGTGAAGCACTTTGTAACTTTGTTCTGGAAAGGTGCTATTTAAATAAAGTTATTATTATCATCATCATCATCATCATCACTTTGTTTTCATCATCAGTTTGAAATCCTCACCTTTGATCAACAGAGTGGCGTCCATCTTTGAAGTATATAGGAAGAGCTTTAGACCGGTTACTCTTCATGGACATCATGGACACACAGCTGGGTTCAGGTTCAGGTTCAGGTCCAGGATCAGGTCCAGGTCCAGGTTCATGTTCATGTTTAGGTTCAGGTCCAGGACAGTGTGGTCCCTGATGGATCCTGGTCACATGTGTAGAAACAGAGTCAGTGAATGAAAGACTTTGAGTCATGGACAGTTAGAGATAGTCATCTCACCTCTGAGCTTTGGTCTGGCTGGTTTTAGAGGGAGGGACTCCCTCCTCTCTGTCCTCACACTGATTCATAGCAGAGTCCACACCTTCACACAAACACAACATTATTTCTCTTCATCATGACAAACACACACAGCTCATTCACCTCAATACTAAATACACTCATGGGACAGTTTCCATGTTGATGTCACTTTGAGCTGCAGAGTCATATCTAAGAAATGACATTCACAATGCTCTTTAGTCTTTTGGCTCGTTTGAAGATAGAGGAAGACACTTCATGTGGCTTTTTATTGGCCTTTCTTTGGGGATGACGTCACTTTTCACCTCTGTTTGACTGACTTTGAAAAGCTCTTCAACGTTTGAAATGTTCCTCTGTTTCCAAGTCTACTACATCCAGTCAGAGCATGAAGCAGCTACAAACAAGAACAAACGTAAGCTGTGAATGCGCTTCAGTGTTTGTAACATAACAGACTGTCAAAGTAAAAGCAGCTCTCTAAACTCTGTGTGTGTCTTCTGGAGGTCTGACAGTAATCTAGTAGAACACGTTTGCAGAGGAGATGAGTGAGGAGTCCAGAGAAAAGGACCGGTAGGGAATCCAGAGGCTGAGAGAGGAAAGTGGGCTCAACTTGCTGTTAGTTGAACCCTTCAATGAAACACTGTGAGCTTTCATCTGCAGCTGTTTAGTTATGTGTTGTCAGAATGTAGTGTGCATCATATATTGTGACATGTAACCTGAATCTCACCGTTTATTGCTTTACAGGTCATTTATACTGATGCTTACTGACATGACTTTAAAACTATTGTGAGCTAATTTCTGTTCTCCAAACACTTTAAAATCTATATCTTTAAAAGGAAACCACATGTTCTTCAGAGGGTCCGCTCAGTGTTTGGACCTCTGTACTTCTGAAACCCTCATATAACAACGGTTGCCAATAGGTGGCGCTGTGACTTTGAGTTGATATTGGCCTGCAGAAGTCCTCAAGCCATGACTCTCATCAAGCATGGCAAGTTTGGGACAGTTTTGACAAAGTACTGTCGAGTTACAGCAGATTGATGGATGATGGTGAACCATGTAAAATGGCCGCCACACCATGTCCTCACCGTTCATGAAACCTTTAAGCTTTTGATAACTTTTAATCACTAAGGTCTGTAGATTGTTCTCACTAAATATTAAGTTGATATTGATGTCATTCATATAGAGAAACTATAATCATATTCTGGGTTATTTAATAATGACGTCACAATCACAATTTCAAAACATACAGACACAAATAAGTCATAAATAAGACGAACGCATTCTGCCGGTAGAAATCGGTCCTGCACTCATAAACAGAACAGTTTGTTAAAGAGGTAACAGGCTACAGAGAGAAACACCTCTACAGTGGTGATTACTGTGTCTCTTTATTAGTTATTAGTATTATTAGTTACTATTATTAAGTACAGTGATCATGTGAACAGACACAAACTTCTCAAAAGTCTCTCCAGCTGTTAAAACCGACTGACAGCTGATCCTCCGTCATCAGAAACAGATGTAGCTTCACGTGACGCTTCAGAGGAAAGGACGTCTCATGTATCTTAAAACATATTTCCTCGTTTCCTCTCTCCTCGCATGGTTTCCTTGCATCCCTGGTGGGAGGGACTAAGACGCAAGGAAAGGACGCGAGTGAGGGAAACGGGGTTGCAATTAAGAGACTTGGGATGTACCCCAAGATACTTTTTTTCTAGATGTCTACAGTCTACAGTCTACATGTGATACATGTGCTTACCAAATTTTACAGATCTATGTAAAACGTACTGCGAGGGCTGCATGGTCTAAGTTCTGTAGGGGGCGCTATAGAGCCGACTTCCCTCTGAAGCATTAGAACCACATCAGATAAAAACATTGAGGACTTTAAATGTGAGAACAGACCAGTTTGGTTCCGTTTGAAGCATCTTTAGCCTCAGAAACACCTTCAGAGTTCATAATTCATAACTTTATGATCTTCATATCACTTTTTTAAAGGTCTCAAGAGGATCTGAAGTACATCAGGTTAAATCTATAGGAGTTAGAGTATGTTCATAATAATAATAATCATAATAAAAATAATAATAATCATAGTAAAAATAATAATCATCATAATTATAATAACAATAAAAACAATGATGGTAATAATAATTATGATAATCATGATCATAAGAATTATGATAATTATAATAATTATCATAATTAAGATCATACTAATAATTAATAATCATTCATAATAATAATCATGATGATAATAATCATAATAATAATATTAATAATCCTGATATTAATGATAATAAACATAGAATAGCTCCTCCTCCTCAAAATAATAATAATACAAATTAGAACAATAATAATAAACATTAGAACAATAGATCCTCTAAATCTAAATGAAGTTTCATATGTACAGTATGACGTGATCGTCCCCTCTAAAGCTACCGCACAGCCCTCCAAGGAGTACGGATTTCAAAGTAAAGGATCGCGTGAGTTGTGATTAAGGAACAGAAGAGTCATTTCCTTCCTAAATTCCTATTTACACCATTTCAAGCCCTCACAGTCTCTCACACTCAACCACTTACCAGGTGACGTCAGTAAATCCCTGCGGGTTCAGGGTTTGAGGCTTTAGGGGGGACATTGGGATTGGGCCAGCGACATGCGAACTGAAGACTTTGTGACGTGTTGCTCTGTTCTTCTTCACTGGTCCTCCTCTGAAGTCCACTTGAACTAGTTTCTGCTGGACCTGAAGGACCAAAGAGTCCTCCAAGAGTCCCTCAGTGAAAAGAGTCGCTTACTAACCTTTAGGAGCAGAGAAGAACAAGCTGCGACACTACGAGCTCCAGAAGTGAAACTAAAGAGAACAGGAAGGGACAGGGAGGGGCCGGTGTGACGTCCCTGGTTTTCAAACCTACTGGTTTCCCTTCCGTGCGCAGCAGTTCTCTGCCTCTGTCGCCAAATTCGTCAAACATTCACAATATTGCTGGAGATCTATAAACCACATCTCATATTCATGGCGGGGATTGCGATTGTATAAGTGAGACTACATCACAGCCACGTATGAAGAAATACATTGAAGAAAATATATATTTCCCCAGAAATTGTGGGTAAATGTATTATGATTATTTCTGTTGGCAGTGCGATTTGATTGATATAATATAATATTCTGTCAGAGTGTTTTCATGTATTCCAATTGAACACAAGATTAATTCCTGACCTTGTTTGACTGACCAACTCTGTCATCTAGTGGCAAATATGAGAACAGCATGAACACTGAATAGAGCGGCGTCACGTTGGCTGAAGATGAAGCCACTTGTATCGTGCATGTTTATGTATGAAAGAGAATGTAACACTAATCCTCTGCAGAATATATCTTAGCTGCAGCAGCTATAATCAGTACTTTATATGAACAATGGATTACATGACCACTTGTATGTGGAAGGGGTCATTCGTAGAAAGGAGCGTGAAGGTAATTATCACCAAAGTTCTGCAGTTCTTATATAATGTCATTCCTTCCATCAGCTCCCATCACAACATTTCATTCATTTAAGACAAGACAAACAATTCGACAAAAAACTAAATAATTTATTATCTTCAAACCCAGAGGCAATTTGTGGTTACAGTCATTACAGATAACTGCTGTGCATTCTACACACACTGTACACTACCACTACCATTATCAATACACTACTACTACAACTACAGTACCTCATTACTGCATCCACTACTTACTAGAATTACTACTTCTAGTTAAAGCACTAAAGCACAACATAAACAAACACCAATACATTAACATACACTATATCTTCACTTGTAGCACCATTCATTGCATTATACTACAGATGTAGAGAACAATTTAATCATACTTCACTTTCGTTTCCATGTGCCTCTCTCTGAAAGCCTGGAAGAGGCCTTTTCATACAGGACATTTAAAAACAAATCTCCATTTAGTTTTTTTTTTGGGGGGGGTGGGGGGGGGGGGGGGGGGGGGGGGGGGGTGGAATTGTCTGCTCCTCATCTGGTACCAGGGGAGTTGCTGCACTGTTCTGTTACAAAAGTTGTGGTGTCTTCATCTTAGAAGGGGATGGGTCCGTAGTAGGCGACGTATGCGGCGACGATGCCCACAGTCTCGGCCATCTCGTCACAGCCAATGTTCAGCTCACACACCTCTTTCAGGCTGCAGGGCAGAGGAGGGAAACGAGGTCAGAAGGGCTGCAAGATCTCTTTACACCCGACTAATATGTAAAATGATAATTTGACCTTAGGTAGGAACTTTGCAGCAAGGAATAGAGTAAATAACTGTACCTTTCCAGCTGCAGGGGGCTGAGGTATCCTGTTGCGGCAGCTCTTCTTCTCCTCAGGAGAACAGCAGCCAGGTCTCTCGTTATGACCACCTGGGACGCTGCGGGGACGAACATCACAAAATCAAACTTTTTGTCGAAAAAAGATTCTTGTTTTAAAGTCAAACTTTAAGTAATTCTGAAACCATGCAATGATTCTTTCTGGAGACAAAAATGTTGCTCACCCTCGTCACTGGCTGACTCAGATGAAGATGAGGAGGATGAAGAAGAAGAGGAAGAATCGGAGGCGGAGGAGTCGGATCCTAAGGAGTTAGACTCAGAGGAGGAAGACTCAGAGGAAGATGAGGAGGAGGAGGAAGAGTTGGAGTCGGAGGCTGAGGACGAATCAGACTCTGAGGAGGAGGAAGATGAGGAGGATGAATCGGGGGCGGTGGGTTCAGCAGTGTCAGCAGTGTCAGCAGTGTCAGCAGGGTCAGCAGGGTCAGCAGGGTCAGCAGCTGCAGCATCAGCCGCCGTGTCGGCAGCAGGGTCCACGACAACCTCTGGCTCAACAGCTGGGGAATTACAGAAAATAACACTTTAATATGCACATTGTAGGCACCTACACTATTCCAAATAACAGAGGTCAATCTCAGGAATCACAGCAGTGATGGGACGAGTTTGTCCTTACCTCCCATGGACCAGCACACTGACAGAAGGGCACAGATGGAGAGGAGAGTCAGAGTCTTCATGATGCCTTGTAGTTAGTTTCACTCTGTAGAAAAGTCTCTTTCTTGATTGTGCGCCCTTCTTTCCTTCGATGGCTTGCTCTGTTTCTTTCCCCCAATTCGAGGTCAATATATACTGAAGTCCACCTCTTTCTCAGACCAGAGACAGCCCACTTGTCATGAAAGCTCCCCTTAACACCCACGCAGCCCTGGCACAGAGTCCGAAAAACTCGTTCACCCACGCAGAAACTTACACGGCCACAAACATTCTTGGCATTCAACTGTACGTACAGTGCATGTACTGTATGTAAACACGCATGTATTCATGTATGTACACCTGACTTGGCATTAAAGCCAATCCCAGACAAACAGGGTGACATGAAGAAAGTTGGACTAACATCAGGGGATTCCCCTTCTCCACATGCACATGCACACATGCAAATATACACACATATGTTACCTTAAATTCTAAAGAACTCCTATATGTCCCATAGATAAATGTCAAATTGAATTACTGAATTGACATCCTAAAATAGTTTCACTCCCTGAGGTCAATCAGTTTTTATACTCGTCATGTTTACCAATCCTGTAAATCCCCTTTTGAATTCCTTTCCAATCCTGACCCCTCATCACTGGAGTATCAATAATGCAACACACCGCCCCCTGAAAGTCTAAACCAGTCGTGTTACTGATCTCTATAAAATACCCTTCAGATGTGATTGGATTTTAATCAGGGAGACCCGTTGCAGGGTTGATTCTTCAACATGAAGTCCGCCAGTCCTGCCATTGCTGTGATGTTGCTCCGCTCCAGTCCACCCCCACAAACCCTAAACTATAGCTTGAGCCGACCACAGGCTACTAATCGAGTGACACGGGGCAGCAGTGAGCCTCGTTGTGCGAGAGAGCTTAATTAGAGTGTTGCAGAGTCCCACCAGAACCGCAGTCAGTCACTATTTACAGATCCATCTGGGTCTAGCTCCTGGCCAGATGCAGGCATGGCCACGGTTTACCAACGCCAATCAGTGGCCCAATACATGACCTCGCTTGATGTATTTCAGCAGATATACGGCTAAATATAAGCCGCCCCCATGTGTTGGATGCACAGCATTATATATGCGGGTTTGGATGCAGCTTTCTGTTTGTGCGATACAGTTGAAGTGTGGCTTCAGCTGTGGTTTATGATAAAAAAAGATATCTGGTATTTTGAGTTTGCAGCTTGGTCCTAAACCATCTTGCACCGTAAATACTGTTTATCCACACATATCACTTCATGTACATATATATCCCAGAGGGTCCCCAAACGGCTCCATCTATCACGTAGTGAGACGTTCTGAGAAGTTCAGTGCAGCTGCAGGGTGACCTTGGTGTCCTTCGTGTTTCATATAGTCTAGCGTTATTCCTGGTGTCAGGGATTTGTCTTGGACTGGTTGCTGTGTAATTTCAATGTCTGGTCCAGCGTCCATTTTTGTGGTTGCATATCTTAGTGCACAGGGGAGACACAGTTGGAGAAAACAATTGCCGCAGCATCCCTGAATAGGCAGGAAATACAGTGTCTGGTGCATTTCTGCCCTTGACCTTTCTTGTTGTTGTTGTGGCTCGGCTTTGAAATCATTTAATTTAGACGATGAGTAATGCTCACTTTTATTTACTGTTGTTCTGGGTTTACACATTTCCTGTTTGACCAGCATAAAACGTATATGCACAGGTGCAACATATACTGTGTGACAAAAACACCATAAAGTGTTAACTTCTCCTATATTAGGTGATACGGTATCCTCTCAGGTCACATATAATACTGTGTTTACTGACAAGGCCCTATCTTTACTATACCAGGACCAGAAGGAGAGAACGCATTTCACCTGTTTGAAACTCGCTGCATTGGTTCACTGTAAGTTTATGATCTGATTTAAAATGCATTTTACTTGTTTTGAAAGCACTTCCCCTGCGGTTAAAACATTTTGCCATTTGATGAATGGGTTTACAACATAATCTATGTATTTCTTTCATATTCATCACATATCTCTTCCCTACCGCTCCTTTAAGTATATATCTATAGGTTGTTTATTGACCTTGAGACCTTGAGACCTCAGACCTAATAGACCAGGGCTCCAACATGTCTGTATCAAGCTTTTAAACAAACAAATCCCACCACCAATAACGGCAACCCCACGTTAACACACCAGTAAGATATCTAAAGGACAGATCAGTGTTAACAGCAGCTTTATCTTCTAAAGGGTACTACAAAGCAAAGAGTCTGTTCTGTGTGAATAAAATATTTTTTAAAATTTAATTTCAAAGAATCTTCACTGTAAACTTCCTTCTTCTGTCTTTTGGTCCCTGGCAGTTTTACTCCACTTGCATGATACACACGCATCACATGGTTGCAACAAACAAGCTTTAAATGACCAGTTACAGGCGTGCATTTAGGCTTTTCTTTTTAAACCATTACCTCAGTGTGCGTGTGTGGATGCTCATGACTTACAGAGAACATTTTAGGTTGTAGGTAAGAGCATGTGTAACCTCAGCAAGGTGTCATTTACGGGAAATATGCTGTAATACACTAACTGAATGATAACAAATAATAGATTTGGGATTTTGTATTAAGGTATGTGAATAAAAGAAAATGTAAACTAGGAGATATAATGCAGCATATAACAGCGCAGACGTGTTGAAGGAGAGGGGGCCTAAAAGTGTCCATATTTTTGCAATCGATGTGAAAATTATGTTTCGTATTATAAATACTGAAAAACTCCTGGGAGAGACATTTACTGTGTACGGCTCTGTGCTTAGCAGACTGATACCAGATCTCCTGCAGCACCAGAGACTTATTAGCCATAATAAGTCTCACTGACAACAGTGACACTATGGAGTCATACCACAGCTATTTAATCCTATCTAATGAACCACATACTGTAACCTACTACTATACAATTTAATATATTCTGTCAAATGCATCAGGATGACCTTATGGAAGGATAAACAGACAGCAGCCCATGTCATTTAAAAAAAAGTTTGATGTATGGAAATAATGCGAGTTAGAGACTTTTGTGTTTGAGCATTGAGTAGAGTTGTTGAACAACATGGGAGATGTCATGAAAGAAAGGCTTCTCACCAGGGGCAGACGAAGTATTGAGATCCTTTATTTATCCTTTATCAGCGATTCTAATCTAATGCTTCTCGTCAAATTCAGTGAATATCTCCTCACGGCCCGCTAGCTGTCCGTTGTGTGTGTGTGCACTGATTATACTGTACACTGGCTCTGAAAATGGGACACAGACAAAGTGGGTCGGAGCGGGCCACACACTATTCCAGCCAGGAAAGGGAAAGGCCTTGGATGTAGAAAGAGAATGAAAAGGCAGCGAGAGGGACTGTAAATCTGGAGGGGGGAATTTTGTTTGGGTGTTGAGTTTAAATATCAACAATCTTTCTTCAGAAACGCTGATTCCACCTTGAATGTGTCGTTGTTGCTTTCTTACTGCTGTAGGTGTGTACGTGTCCTGTGTGATCAGTCATCTTTTCATGAGCTCAGAAAAACAGTTTTTAACACTGTAAAAATAAATGCCAGTGAAATCCACAGTAATTTAATGTGTTTGTGCACAGTAAAGTACTGTATATTATTACTGCATACTATTTCACAGTAGAATACTGTGTATTTAATGGGACATTACAGTACTCAATAAATTACAGTAGAAATCAAAGTAATGAATTATGTACTGTAGAAAATCACAGTAACCAAATGTATTGAATAAATATATAATGTATTGTATAAAAGTTAATTACAATGATTTTTCAAATTGTTACTTGTCAATTGCTGCCAGTTAACTACCGTAAATGTTACGGTACATTTCTTAAATTGCAACTTTCCTGCTAATCCAAGAGAAATACATTTTATTATTTAGTTTTTGAAAATGACATTAATATTAGAGCAATTGTTATTAAACACAATTTGAGATCCTAACTGAAGATCCTCACTTAATACTTCTACTCCTTAGAAACTTAACTTTATTTATTAAAATTACAGAAACAATATGCTAATATAGAACCAGTCGTGCACCACATTTATCAACTAACTATTCAACACAGGGGCATTATCTTACAGCTTGCCTGTTGATGGTTTAAAGTCAACACCGACTGTCTCCATTGCAGCCGTAAACAAACTTAGATGGTGGGCGACACACGGTGTATATTTCCGCCTGGCCTCTGAGAAACGTCCACCTGCCAGGCTTTCCCAATTCCGCCGGATGCATCCGCTTGGCAATACAACACCACTAATTATACTGATCCCAAGTCTGGGCCTTGAAAGTCCCTTCTTGCTTATGGGAGAATATTTCTGGGACAAGCCCAAACAGTTTCACTCTTGATGTCTCCACTCCACAGCCCATCTGTTTTGCTTTTATAGAGCTTTTTTTGCTAAAATACGTATTTAGAGACCGATATGTCTTTGAGTCAAATCCCTTTTTAAATTTGACGCCCTGCTTTCAGCTGTGTGTGATTGCTGCCTCTGTGATTCCTTGCTATTCATCATCGGTATTTGTCAGTTTATCGTGTACAGATGATGTTTTTTAATTTTATTTACACATTTTTCTTTCCAGGACAAATCATATGAGAAACTTAACGGCCTTGGTGAAGCTCTTCCCAGTCTTCTCTCTGTCAGTCTCTCTGAGGTCGGTGTGTTGTGGTCCTGACAATAACATTAGTGGACAGACTAACAAACTCCGCCAGATCTCTGCGATTTGTGGTCAGTAACTTGCGGCCCGCTGACCAGACCGTAGACTGGCTCACACTCGCGTAAACAAACAAAACATAACACACACATGGTTAAATATGTGAGGACACATGAGACACACACACATGCAAATGTTTACTTTGCATAGTTTCTGTTGTGTTGGAGGGAAGAAATTCTAACACACAGCCATAGTTTCACAGAAGGAAGAATCAGACGGCGCTTTTCCATTCTGTTTTTGTATTTAATACATATGAATTAATTTACATTTGATTAATAGTCCTAGAGCTCTGTTTTGGCC